TTGAAAACATTTGATTGGTAAAGGGTGGACAAAGCTCTTCACGCATACAGAGCAACCACAGATAGGTTCGTATTAATCGCCCTGCGCGGCGGAGATTCATTTATGTGAGGGTGGGTGTGGGCGAAAGAAACACGACAATGGGTGTGGGTGCAAGAAACACTGTTGATTTGAAGCGGAAAACCGAAGTGCCTCGTCCAATCAGCGTCCGTGTGACTTGGTGTGACAGAACGGAACAACAGCCGCAGCACCATGCAGCAGGTGCGAACCTTTCGCGCTTTTGGCGGTGCGGGCAGCTAGCGCCTGAGCCCGTGACGACCCGGGGTTTGCAGAGAGGGGAGGTCAGGCGGGCTCCACGGAGTGGGAGGCTCGCCGCGCCTCACGAAGTTATTCTTGTCGATTGTTGAGAAGGACAAATCCCCCCGCTGCGCTGTCGAGGCGTCGAATTGGAAATTGAGGGAATACTGCATACCGAAGTATATTCAAGGGCTCGGACCGCACCCCCTATCCGTGCAGGGTGGACACGAAAGTTAATGAGAGGCGTAAAGCGCATACCAAGTGGGAAGCTCTTCATCTCGAAGTGGGAATTTGTGATTGATTGAGTGCCCGCAGAAGTGGAGCTGTGAAGGCAGCTCTTGAAACACGATAGAACGGAAATATTGATACAATAGTTCTGTTTTCAGATTTCGTCCCGTTCGCGGAGGCGTTTATGGTTCGGATTCATTCCCAACTACGTTACGCGGTCCTAACGCGTACCACCAGTGTCTCGCAAACCCCACACGTAACGGGTGCTGTACCTACGGCACCTCTGCGTGTCATGTGGAAGAAAGTGCGCGAAAAAACACTGTCCCAGGAGAGAAAAAATAACGGGACAGAAGTCGAAATGCTACATAATAGCATATATAATTAGTTGCCGAACCATTGTTCAATTGAAAATTCCGATCGATCTGTGTTGTTATTCAAACTTTGCCACCGCGTTGTATCTCGCGTGTCATGGGACGTTGCGGGCTTGTGGCTGGCTACAAGCGGTCACACTAATTACAGGAGAGTCAGTGAAGTACCCAGAGGTAGGTAGGTACACTAGATAGCAGCATCGAAAAGACGTGGTAGAACAATTCGTCGTCGTCCGTTGCAGTCATCTAATTATAGTACTTTTGGTGGAATGTTTCACGGAACTTTAATGAAATTACGTGAACTTCCATGGAACACAATGGAATTTCAACGGACGTCCATGGAACTCCATGAAATATTCCATGGGTGTTCGTGGAAGTCCACGAAACGTTTCATGATGGAGATCTATGAAATATTTCATGGGCATCCGAGAAACGTTCCAACCGAATTGCCGGACAAGAAGTCTTGACTTGCATAGAATGTGTTGATGGACTTCGACGGATTTCCACGAACATGGTGTCATGGACTTCCATGGATTTTCAAGGAGTTCCATGGCATGTTTCATGGGTGCTCATGGACGTCCATGGACTTTCATGAAAAACTCCATTAAAATACCTTCCGGGCAGCCCATGAACTGCCCCCGGAGTGCCCACCGTGGGCACTTCAGTCTAAAATTCGCAACGGCATATCAACCTATACCGTAGGTTGCATAAGACATCACATACCCTGGACCGATTTTTAAAACTCGATTACTCCACCACGATGAGGATGCCGAAATCAAAGGATTTTTGTTTGGAAAGCTCTCGACGAGACTATCCAACGCCGCCATTTTTCGGCACCATTACTGATTTTCCTGTCGAGAAAGCGAGCTTCGAAAATCGGTCCAGGGGGTATGATATCTTATGCAACCTACGGTAGTTTTTAGCCACCTTCACATCAACCTAGCACGTATGTGTATCGGGTGGGCTTGGGGCAAGGGATAGGGTAAGGGTTATTCGCCGTAATAATGCCCGTTCCAAAGAAGACAATCTACTTGTTTAGGAGTACACTGAGTCCGGTTGAAGGGCACCCATTGGCCGCCCACGGGCCGCCCATAGGAGTACAACGGTTCCGGTTGAAGGGCACTCATTGGCCGTCCCTGAACTGCCCATACATATGGGCTAACCATGGGCTAGCCCGCGGGCATTCCCCGCCATGGGCTGCCCATGCTGCCCATGGGCAGCCCATGGGCATAAGGTGGTGCCCACGGGCGATTTAGCGATACTCATGCAGAAAGTCCGGGAGACCCAGTGTTCATGAGCGTCCATGAAAGTTCATGAAATGTTTCATGGATTTTTCATGGATGTCCATGAAACATTTCATGAACTTTCATGGACGTTCATAAAACATTTCATAAACATTGATGGACGTCCGTGAAACATTTCATGATCTTCATGGGCGTTCATGAAACGTTTCATGAACATTTCATGGACAACCCATGAAAAATTTCATAAAACATGCCATGAACGTCCACGGGCGTTCATGGATGCATGTCATGGATGTCCTTGAAATATTTTGATGAAATGCTCCTTGACAAAAGTGTCATGCACATCCATGGAATTTTTCACAAACGTTCGTGAAAATATTATGGACTTCCATCGAACTTGCATTACATTCCATGGAAGGTTCATGGACTCCACAGAAAACCTTTTTGACTCTTCGTTCCTGTTTTGACTCTTCTTTTGTGCATCTTGAAAGATCTACCGGAAAAAAAATGAACACACTAGCACAATCAATCTGGGCGGCAGCCGGTCACAAACGTCGCATGGGGCACACATTAACATATATCATACCCACATAGATAACAGCACCTTACAGAGACCAATGATGCGTGGGCGGCTGTCTTTGCTGACTATTTGTGGATGTGACATATATATACGTGTCTCTATCTGTGTGTCTTCCTTGCTGTTGGGATCATCCTCTCTTCATGGTCCAAACATGCAAACAAGAGTCAGCAGGTTCATACAATTATTATTGTACACATATCAGTCGCATGTTCTCACGCCAATTAGCCGTTCTCCGCCGAACGCCCACCCAATCAAAAGTCGGTTTCTTTGAGAACGAAGAGGTTTTCCGTAGAATCCCGGGATGACATGAGATGGGAGCCCAGCAGCTCGAGATTTGGTCCAACTCGGCAGCGCCGAGACACCGCAGGCGTGCGACTGTCGAACCCCCGATGAAGGGAAAGTCGCGATGGAAGATTTTTCCGGTCGGCACCGCGAAGAGGAGAAGTCGATCGGCATCCTCGCGCGGGGGGGCGTAAACGTCTTGAGTTGAGGGGGGTTCGAGATGTTGATGACTCCTAGAGCCGGAGTCTGTGGCGGGTATGCCCATATTTATGCCCAGTGACTAGAAAGTCTCGTTGTTGGCTTGTATTTGATCCGCAGGACAAACGCAGGACAACAGTGAAGAAAGAGAGTGTCCCAAGCACCTGCGTGCAGCATGGGGGCACCGCTGACCCCTTCATGTATACTGGTATTTAGTATGGCATGTTAATATTGGAAATTGTATGGCGTCAGGGGGGGGGGGTAGATGGGCCGCCTGCCCGAATATTAGCCCCCAGTCTGCCCCCAATAAGGCCAGTATCCGTAGAAGCGACGTTGGTTTCGCCGCATACTTCACCCTTTCACCTGCGCGCCACGGTCTCGACACACTTCGGCGCTCTGGAGAAGGCTGCGGAAGACAGCGGCAATGCTGAGGCCGCTATCTTACTGCGGAGAGCTAAGATGGCGTTGATCGCAGCGCATGCCGCACTGCCCACGCCGCAGGCGGACTTGAGGGAATTGTTAAATAGTGTGATGAGTGCATGGGAGGGATCTTAATCTTGGAAGCGGATGCTGTTTCGTTGGTGGTATCGTATTTTTTTCAGAAGTTTTGTCAGGATTGGGTGGTCTGTGCCCTTACATATGTTTCAATCGTGTCTCGGAATGTATGGCAGGAATAAATGCATGGTGCTGCTGTGTGCTGATGGGTTGTTGCTTTGGGATTGCAAAACAACGAGGGGTGCACGACTTGATGGTCGTTTGCCTTTCCGTTTTCTCGTGGGGGGATACGTTTGGACCGAGGTCCAGACTACCGAGTGCGAAGACCGGGTTCATGCTGTTGCGGAATGCCCGTTGTACAAGAAGGAGAGGGAAGTTTGCGTGAGAGACTAAGGACGGTTGGATGAGAAGCATGAAATGAATGCGATCGCAAAGCACCGATTCAAACTGCGTCGTCCGCTTCGTTTGGCCTAGTTTCAGCGCACGGGTCCTTCAACAAGGCCGGTTACCGGCCTTATTGAGGAAATATAGATCCTCAGTAAGGCCGGGTGCCCTCAGCAAGGCCGGTTTATTCTCGTGGCACTATGCGGCCATACTGCAGGCCCCCCTACTGTACCCACTTTTGTCTGAGAAGGGGAAGGGTACACCCATTTTCGTCTATTTCCCAAGACCTCCAATTCAGGTCTAGACCACAGTGAGGGCCCGCAATTAAGAAAAATTCCGTTGAGAATAAGGCTCAATTTTTGACGAAAAATAAGAAAAAAGGATAAAGAAACACGGCTCAATCTTGGCCACGACATAAGAAACATCCCAATAAGAACATGATCATGAGATACCCCCAATATAATACAAACAAGGGTTGCTGGGGGAGGAGCGTTTCCAAGACGAAACGTTCCACTGCTGCTCTTTCCGTGCTCCCACCCCCCAGGTGCCTAGCGGGACAATGGTTTTTTCGTAGGGGGGGAGAGTGATTGTTGGCGCTGCCCCCCCCGCCTCCGCGCTATTTAGCTACTCGGCGCCTCCGCGGGCTGCTTACCCACTGCTGCATGAATGTTTGGTGTTGTTCAATGCATATTCTTAGCCAGATACTAAAGAAACCGAGCAATGACAGAATCAGGAGGATGCGACAGTCCACAGGGATAAGAAGTGCCTTTCAAGGCAGCACTGGGGATCGCAGTTTTCCTCTGACAAATACTGCTCATTTCGACGAAAAAAAACAGACGGGTTCAAAAAGTTAACAAACGGGACTGTGACATGTGGCCCAACCAGAGTTGCAGAAACAGGCCGAATCGCATAGAATTTGAGCACGATCACAGCTGGGCTGCTGTGGGCCATCGGCGCCGTCTGCTCCAGCGTCGTCATGGCGGACCCACAAGGTAAGGAGTCGACCATGGTACCCAGATAGACCCTGAAGTTTTGGTGCCATGTGGGTGGCTGTGAGTAGAGTCCGCACCACACGATTTTGGCATGCCGACCACGCTGGCTGCTGCCGTCTTAAACCTTACAGTAGAGGCCACATTTCGGGCTTGCCACGTAGCAGACAGCTCGTGCACAATGGAAGCCTTTGATGCCCACCCCTGTCCTTTGCTGGGGCGAGGAATCGCCCGCAGCATTGCTGGCAATCACGTACAACCTCGGGTTGAAACCGAAATGTCGATTTTTGGCCTAAAAACCGGCCCGCGGGATGGCAAGGGCCAAGTACGCATGAACTCCCTCGAACGGCGAGTGCAGACTGCCGATCGATGCGAGTTTTTGCCGCTGCGTATTATAGGTGCATGCCCAACTTATTCCGAAAGCAGTGGCGAAACAGCAGTTGCCCAGCACATTTTTGCTAGTAGCAGTCTGTTTTTTTCGATTCAGCCGCGTACCCCCCCCCCCCGAAAGTACCCTGCCTT